AATGTAGGTGTACACTCGTTTTCTTCTTCTTGCTGGACAATCATTGGGGCTAAGTTTGCTTAAACAAGTGAGTGAAAATGCCTAATTATTACTTAGATAACTTCATTAAAAGATATTTGTCTCCTTAAACATCAAGCCTTCTTTTTTTGTACGCACGTAACAATCAGTACAATTGATTGCGTACAAGTAGACAGTCTGCTACCATTTTTTTGCCGCAATTGTACCTTATTTTTGTTAGATCAGTATTGCAAGTACATACACCATATTTGTATCACTCGCCTGGAAGAAGAGTTAACAAAGAAAGCGTGATCCACGCACAATGGAAAATTTTCATTTGTAATTGTTCTATTCATTACACAAGATTAAATTGGGCAATATATATTAAAAGTGAAGCCTATTATATACATTTTTTATCATAATTTAATTGAATGGCCATTTTGTGGTACTACCACTTCGATTGCGTACTTATGGTAGGTACTACATATATGTCCATTCCATAATTCCCAAAAATTAGTTGACAGTTAGACGGAAACAGCTACTATCTTCAAATACAGTCTATGCACGATGCGTCGCTACTTCGAGATCTTCCGCGTCCACCCAACCTCATTAAGGGGACAGTAGTTGTCGTATTGAATTATACCAAGGCTGTAGGGGAAATGAGCTAACTCCAAGCTATGCAAACTCACCATCTGATGTAATTTTAAACATTAGAATCCTGTGCAACCTCCTTTTCACGATATGGAAGGTGCGAAATGACACATAGTCGATCAATTATTACTTTGGTGGAACCATCGATCACCTGTAGGTGCAAAATTGTATGTCGGGGATTACTTGGGTGGATTTGTACTTTATGGAAGTCGTAGTTACTGGGACTCGGGCTAATAGAAAGATTGTAGATGGTCTCTGCCCTTCTACTGCAGATAAGTGAGGTTGCACAGATCAGAGAAGTAGGGATCACCGTAAAATTGATAGTTGTTAAATCAGTCACAAGCAATTTGACTCGATGAAATGTTCTGAGAGCCCAAGAAGTGACGTGCAATATTGTGTGATATTGCGACCTTGGGAAGTATGGACAGTACGGAGAAGTACTCAAGATGCCGTATTCGTATACGGGAACGCACTATTCGTACGTCTTCCGAATGAAAACTGGCATGAGCATTAATAGTTTTAGTCTAAGTAAAGCTAAAGAGATTTGACACTGTAAAATACTGACCTTGATGTGACGACTTGTCCTGGACCCAGAGACGATAAATTATTTCATCCAACCGATGCCTTGGCTAGAACGCCATCAGCAACAAGTCGAATGGAAGTCAAACGCGTTAAATGTCACGCGCTTTGTTGCTGGTGGACCTTGTAGCTCTGTTATAAAGTAGCGCATTGGTGTGAGCTTGAAACTGCGATGACTTCCAAACGGTCCTTGGGACTGTTCGAGATCAATTTTGATAGTACTACTTGGCGCCTCGAGTCTTGTTCGGAAAGTAGAAGCTGCAAGTAGTTACGGTCTTGGAATGAGACAGAAAACTGCAGTTGTATATCATCCTAGAAAGTTTTTCGCTGTTGTGGTGCGAATAGACGACTGTATGTTGAGGGACCCAAGGAACATATCGCTCGCGGGTGGCTTAGAAAGCTAGCTCTTGTGTCGTATGCCAAGGCTCATGGAGTGTGACAGTACAAATGGGTGTTGCTATCTTTGTTGCCAGATCTAGATGGATTGAAGAGCGACCGTAAAATCGAGTTGGCGGGTCAGGGCCCATCATCAAGTTGGGTAAGTCATCATTGTCACAATATTACGGTACTGCTGAGTCAGCACATTTCTGTAATGGGCTTACACTGCGAGCTGCGAAGCTGCATATGTATCTGGTGGGAAAGATTATTTGCTTGTTTACGGTGAATGGAATGGTGGATCGCTCTTGGCTACCCTCGACATTTGCTCTGATTGAGCTGGAAGATACTATATTAATGGTATGAAAGCAAGGATATGGAGGGCAATAAAGTTGCCAAAAGGGTATGGCTCATATTGAATTATGAGCTGAGCTCGTCGTTTATCACGGCTAAACTTGCAATTGAAGACACTCGTAGAGCACTGAGTGCAAGGAGTGAAACAGATGCTATCAAGGGCTGCATCAATCTTCTTTTTACTCAGAATGATAAATTGACTTCGTGAAGAGAACGTTATCAGGCGTGCTGGCGCTCTATGAGGATAAGCGGTATTATGTCGATTTACTTTCTGGAGCAAAAAAACGGTTATGGGTTTTAAAAAGGAAAAAATGTGGCACCGTTGACACTTCGGACAAGAAACATATTAGGTGGAAGGCTCTTCAATCGGTGACAACATTATGTGTAAGAAAGGCGACACAGAAATTTGACGCGAATAAATCACATTTGTTAGAGGTTGATGGATATTATATTTCAAAAAATCGCAGTATTGCTCTCATTGGGACGAGTACTTCACGTGTGATGGTATTTAGTAGTGTAACGGGAAAGGCACACCCATTTACCAAAAAACGTTTAGGTCAACTAATACACCCCACCGCGTGTTGCTCGCTTCTAGCTGGCCGGTTACAAACTGCTATTACTGTTATAACCAATAAGCGTCTAGCCTCCATATCCTGATAAGTGCTCCAGTTCTAATACAATAGAACTAAAAGGGGATATACAGCTATACAAGGTAAAAAGCCAATGTGATATATACAAATAATGTGAACCACATATAATGTGTGATAGAATCTGGCACATTACATAGCCCCCCCCACTCAAACGTGGGTTACCCGAGTTCCTTAAAGTATTCAAATTCGACTTCCACTCTTCGTCATGCTCTGTACAACTCTCGCTGGAGTGACAACTCATAAACCTGCTCCACATGAGATCTTCTTCACCGTCAATCTTGATTAATGTGTTAAATCCACATCATTCAGCGCATTTGCGCTATCGTAAACTTGATCGTCATGATGACTTTCACGATAAGAGTGGTGGAATCACCCTAGTGCTCCACGAACACTCCAGCTGAATGGGCGATCGACTGATGACTAAAATCACGTAGTTTCGCGCCAATGGGCCGATTTTCGTGCTAAAGGTGAACCACGAAGCCTCACGTATGTACCATACGTTCAGCAATCCAATCTGGATTCCATCAGATAATCAACACTCGAATCTGGGATGGATCCATGCGACCAGTTCCGTAGATATCAACCGCATGCAAAGCGCGAGCACCGCTGCGGACTTGTTGAAGATAAGCGATGTGCAAATCAAATTTGCAAATTTGACAGCGAAGAACCAAATTCACTTTGACAGCAATGATGTTCGTTGAGTACGTCGGTCATAAGTCGGTTTTACGACGATTGGGACAGAGTAAAAGGATGAGGATGAGGGAAAGCTTTTCTAAACGGAGTCCGTCTTCGGATCCGCATCGAACGCGCAATAGATACTGGGAGAAGTCGCGGAGGATACATGTACGAAGCTTTCATGAATTTTCTTTCCCTTCCGAAAAAGACTGCGTTACATCCAGGCTGGAAATCGTGCCGTCGCAATTGTAGGGGTTGAGCGCCTTTTCTAGAGCGTTGGATGTGTCTTAGCCAACTTGGCATCTTGAGAGTGCAAGCGTTCCCATGGCATGATACTACTTGGAATAGACCGATGAAGCGAGGCAAAAACTTCGAGCTTTCCATGCTCGAAACCGCACCGTGTGATGTGTTCTAAATTTGATGCAGTAGATATTCCTCAACAATAAAAGACATTTTGCCCTGACAGCCTCGTCTATCTGCGTATTTCTTTTGTGGATATTGTGCATTTGCCATTGCGTCTTGCACCTATGTGGTCACATTCACACGACTCATAATTAATGAGTCCGGAGTATTGTTATCTTTGCGTTTCACATGCGTTTTCTTGATTGTGTCAATTCGGTAGTTGCCGAGCTTCTCCCTCGCTCATATCAGAGACACCACCTATCGCAGAATGCGGTGTTCGCGGGTGTCGCAAGCCTTATCCAAAATGGCGTTAACCATGTGAATCATGAATGAATTGTTCATAGCAAGCTCAACCAACGCTAACATCAAACTTCTCTCTGCGAAAAATTTTGCACAGATGCTTCTCAACACATCACCGACCACTCGGTTGGCACGTTATGTTTTCCATCGGTCATATCCAAGTGAGTGCAAAAATAATCGGAATATTTTGTACAAAATCTTACTCATGAATCGTGTATCACGAGCAGAGACAATGGCGTCTGGTATTATGTGATTGCGAAAACGGGTGATCAATCAACATTTCTGCCGAAGCTATGGTAGTGATGGAATTGCTAAACGGAGCGCTGCAAACCAACTTGTTAAGTTTGGAAACAAAGACTAAAAAACATTGTGGTCATCAGCACTCTCGGGAAAGATAAAAAAGAAGTCTAGACAGGAAGACTTTGCAGTGGCATTTGCGTAATCCGTGCGCTTTCTAGGCGCTGACAGGCTTCGCACATCTCCATGTATCATACCACAAGATGAGCCATCAAATTGGGGCTCCAAGGGACTAGTAGGTCTTTTCACGGCCAAATTGGCCGGTTATCGGCCTATCATGCACCTCATACACTATATGTACGTCAAATTATCGTTGTTGAGGGTCATAATCCGTTGCTTGTTTGTCCTGTGCAGCTTCGGAGTGGTGTAGACCATACTTTCATGCACATCAATGCAACCTTTATTTCACGGGACCAGATAGCTTCTTAGAAAATTCATGTCATTTTGTGACACTACTAAGATGATCAGATCTCACCATTTGACTTTTACATATCATCAGGACGACGTGGCAATGCGTATACCAGTACATTCCGTTTCTTGAAGGCGACCGTAAATATTGTGTTCTACAATAAATGGCAACTAGCGAGCCCTTTGTCAGATCATGTTCATCTCCAAAAGTTCCTTATCGTGAACAGGGTATTCTCATGATGACTGCAGGTGTCGTGATTGAATCGATACATTGAGTCTTTTTGCAATACACACAGCCGATTTCAAACTCATTCCACACCATACTACTTCGCATCGTTGTGAAATGAAGCAGTCAATGGTGCTCTTATAAAGCTTTTCTTTATTTAAGTGTTCTTCATAAGCGGATTATCACTCCCATGGTACGTCCTTCTTCACCAAGTTTTTGGCGGGCGTACCGTTTCCGTATAGTTGAGCGAGAAACGATGCAGGGAATTGGACACCAATCCATACCATCAGATCCGTTTGATATCGTGGCGTTAGCCTCTACACAATAGCGTTGAATTTCACAATGTCGCATGAACACCGTTTTCGCCAACGTAACAACCGAGGGCCGGTACTCTATTAGCACCAAAAATAGACTTTACAAGATTCGCTTGCATTGAATCTTAGCGCATACGTTAAAGCATTGACGGAGGTGCTCCAAGTGCATTTTTTTGGCAGATCTGCCATTTTCGTCATTCGAGTGAACAAAAAATCAATGTATGTTTGTGCGAAGCGTCACGGTGGTCGAAAGAGACGGAAGACCAATCGATTGAGCGTTGCTGATGTATTTACTAGTCTCTGTGATACAACAAGCCACTATCATAACATACCGGACGGTGTACTAACAACTGCCAAAGGGACGTTTTCCTCCTTTCTCTGGATCAAGTGCCAAATTAACCGCATTAAACTGTGTACAGCCGGACACACGGTTGCGGTATCGGCGTTTTCGCGGTAATCGGCGGTGCATCTATTTTATTATAGGCGTTAGACGATACGCCATTTGCCAATTGATTTACGCAAGCAAATCGTCGGTACGCTGTGAGGGGACTTGCTCTCCCTCACCATACCAGCAGCTTACTTTTGAGCAAAGACCCCATCGATGTACTCGCTTTGCCCACGCGACAGTGTCCACGATAGAAACACTGCATGCATTATACCAGGTTCACGATTAAATTTGCTTCGAACTCTGCTTTCGCGTGGAAGATTAAAGGCCCTGTTTGCACTAAGTACACCATCCTTTTATATAATAGCAACTGAGTATGACGGTTCAGTTGGATCCTTCGGAATTGCCGAACTTCTACGTTGTACCTCTATCCGCCTGCATCAAGAGCAGTCGTATTTTACCGCGGGTAGCAATTTCGCTGATTTCTCCAAATGTGTGTATCCGCACAACGAGTGAAAGAATCACCTTTGTGGTCATTTGGACCCACTAGTTCACAATCCGACTCAGCCACTATATAAGTGGGACTATTGGCTTATCTAGCCACAGTCGATCCCTTTGACATTCCATTACACACATGTCGGCGATTTTCATCTGTTTGAGGAAGACATCTATCAACATCTCTCCCTCGAATTGCATTCTGCTGGGCAAATCAATATGCTCATCATCGATAATTCAATTTCACATGGCCAGTTCTGGGCACCACTTGGTTTATCGACACACTTCCTTAGTGACCTTCAGTGGTCACTTCATTTGACTTCGATTCTCTACTAACCTGGGGAATGTCAATTGCCTGACACATACCAGTGAAGTGTGGATCATTTCCAGAAGCATACGCCTACCGAGCATTTAACCGCTTCGTCTGGTGCGAAGTAATTGTGGGCTTGTTACTTTCGATAGATTCACCTACACCAAAAAGAGCAACTCTCAAACATTTTCAATTGCAACCGACTCATGGCTCATTCACCCCACGCCAATGTATACCTAAAACCAGCTCATACTGTTACTTCATCTCAAGGACTGTCCTTCAAATTGAAGTCTCCAAACTTCAGTTGAAGATCAACCATAACTTTCTTCGCGGTGACAACCGCGCCAGTGGCCAAATTCATTGAGATAAAGCCAAAGCTCTATATGATGCATTCAAAAGCTCTTAATCGTTTTCAGCAACTCTTTTGCTTCTGCGCGTACTAAGGCGACGTGCCGGAGTCAATCAATAACCTCATCAAATCACATCGCTAGCAAAGGACAATGGTCATCTAGGAGTGAACCCTCATATGTGATTCTATTACCCAATTTTCAAGTGTTCATAATTACCCCAGTAGACCGGCGACCGCATCAGGGTATTGGTACCACGTGGCTCGGAACCACTACGACGAGTGCCGAGAGACATGTCTTTCACGTGGACAATCTCGGAAATGCGACTAAATTGTTGACACTCATTTTACGGCCTACGAACAGTCAACAGCCTTAGATCCATCGGTTCTGGAATGGCAATTACCATTTTCATCGGATTGACCAATTGACCAGGTCCATGATGTTGACAGTACTTCTCATGCAATGAAATCATAATCGCATCTTCCAGAGTCATCGAACCTTGGCGGAGGACTTCAGTATTAGGGGGACCATAAGTTGATCCCTTTCTAAGTACAGTGACCGTCACTGCCTCTGGCGGTAATTTGCTTGCCATCCTGGCACGAAGCTCATGGAGCTCCTGTATATAGTCATACAATGTTCTGTAGTCTTATGTTCACTGACAACCACTTCTTGGAGTGGCGCCTGCGCTTAGAGAAGCTTGCTCGGGAGTAATTGGTCCCCTTCATGCTGACGATTTCTTAAGTACCGAATGATTTCTAAAGCGCCAAAGCGTTGGGCACTATAATTATGCTCTCGGAGAATGGCGTGTTGACTCAGCCATCTCACTACTTAAGCGCTAGTGCTCCATTCGACCTGCTATCCGCTTCATGTAGAATAAGCTATCTCGTGCTCATCGAGCTCTACAGCCAAAATCATACCGACCATCTTTTGTATCCCGTGACCGCTTCAGTTTTTACATTGACTTCACTCCAAAATTTTAACCATGTCAAGAACTCAATTGGGCCAGATCTTTGTTGCGTACTTTGAGTTTTTGCCATCGCACTGGATGAACTGAGATATCCTCAGCGGTTCAGGTCTGTATTGCAGTCATAGCGCAGAAAAAAAACTATGTGGGATGGCGTACGCTGCATTGTTGTCAACAGAACGCATTAAATTCATCTAGCTTGTAAAAATGAAATCTTGCTGTAGTTTTTGCAGCTTTATATGTAGCACAAGCTGTATTAGAATTCTGTTTTATGTAAAAAGTCTACCAATAGCTTTCTTGCTAGCCCCAATAGCAGTTTGACGTATTATGGTGGCAGCTTGGCCTTACCTATCGCGAATACTGCATCTGGGATTGGTTATGATGCTGATCAAAACTTATTCTCACCACAACCTATTTGTATTTTTGCTGTCATTTTTTTCTCTGCATTTTCTTTTTGCACGCTTGATACGCAAATCGCTAAAAGACTCGATGACCAACGGTTATTCATTTGCCGGGTAATACCTCAGCTAAAATATCACCTGCGATCCATTTGTCAAAGTATACCTAAGTTGTATTCTCAGTTGCTACCGTAACGTACTCATTAGTTCCAGGAGTGCTGGTTGCAATGGAATGATCTGTCCTACTCAGAAGTTCGGTCCAAAACAAATACCCTGCTGATGTAGCCAAACGCGTGATTTAGAAGAGCGAAGACAATTTTCATATGGATAATGTGTCACTACTTTTTTTAAAACCTGCGGGTGACCGATACTCCCTACGCATGCTCTTAAGTCTGAAACCGCTGACAGGTTCTTATTGTTTGATAGTATGTGCTTACCCACTTTGACATAATCAGACAAATATACATAGCGCTTAAGGTGCAGAATGCCTTAATAGAAGCCCCTTCATTTTAAATTATACAACTCAACGGGACGTGTGCGGTAGTGGTGAATAACAGCTCATCAAAAAAACAAATGGTATAGCAAGGCAGCCATTCAACCTATGGCTTCAACTAAACATTTTTAAGCACATTCTTACTTCACCCCTTCTGACATGCAACTTATTGTGCGTATTACCCCTTGGCATGAGCCGAACGTTTCGCCTCATAATTTGAAGATGTCACCGTCATGACTTTTGAATATTCACTGTCGGGTCATTACGATAGCATATTCCGCCACCTCGTCAATCGATCCGGCTTATAATTTGCCGAGAGTATATTCGGCTAAAACATTTACTATCTATGTGTCGGTAAAAGTTTGATGAGTGTTATAGCAATTACCTAAAAGTACTCCCATTTTCATTGTTAAAATTATGAAAATTAAGAACTACAGTATGGATTTCTTACATGCACACATGCCATCTTAGATGAAGTCACGAACAGTCTGCATGATACAGAATACTTGTTCATATTTGATGAATTATACCGATGACGGGATTGACGTATCTCTGCATTTTGAAGTGGGTGGTCACTTCTTCGAGTTACTTATCACGAAAGTTCAGAATTAAGGTTTTCAAAGTTTAAGCTCCATGCACTTAAGATCTTGTAAAAGTTCATGCTGAGGTTCAACCTCAGTGCGTCCATAACAGTATCAATCATGAATCCAAGGATTTTTTGTTATTTGGTCCACTAGGAGCGCTTGAGCAATTTTCGTGTATGCTGCTGCACATAGAGGTGTTCCTCTTACATGAAATATTATACCGATATTTGAGCAAATCGTACTTACTTTAATGACCTACCCAGGGAGCCGCACATCGCAACATTAGTCAAAATGTCACTTCTTCAGCTGCGTCGTCTCTTTGGTGGCCTACGCGTGAGTGCAGGCCAAACAACATGTCGAGGCCTCGAAGATTTTTTTCCAGCTCAAAAAGTTTCAGGAGAGGGCGCTAAGACCAGCAGCTTGACGCAGGTGCCAGTGAATGTGGGTGCCAAGAAGGTGGTTGTTGGTGGTGAGTGGAAGGCATGGATGTTGCGTGAAAAGAGCACTGAAGATCTTCATAAGCTTTGGTATGTTTTACTTAAAGAGCGTAACGCGCTTCTGACGGAGCTTCAACAATGTCGTGCGAAGAACATGTCTATGTCGAATCCTTCTCGAAGGACAAAGGTGAAGAAGTCCATGGCTAGGATTAAACTTGTGTTGCATGAACGTAGCGGTATCTATCGAGCTAATCAGGCGAAAAAGGAGGCTTCATAGATTGTTTAATTCAAAGGACAGTAGAATATCTCGTTCTAGAATAAAATGATGAGTCTTTCTTGAGTAATTGTGGCTCAATAAGCGCAATCTACTATTTGCTCTGTGGTGATATCACTGTCTATAAAATCACGCTACGATATTTACCTGCATAACGGAGATCTTAAGCATTATCCGCATCCAGCACAGCCATCAATATTTCATCGTACTTTAAGTAAAAAATGTCCTCTACTCTATTCTTACTCATGGCGTCGCATGTGATAATAAGAGCGGAAGACGAATTGACAGTGCATATGTCATGAGATAGGACCACAATCCTGTCGATTACAAATGACTCGCTTCACGCAGACCTTGGTACGACAGCATGCAGAGGAAAACATGTTGAAGTAGTCAGATCGCTTTGCTGGAGGTAAGTCGCCATGTTGTAACATATTGGCCATCACTCTTACTAAATCACCTTTTGTCATATTGTCGGCCCATAGTTTACATGCGAGTGCCATTTGTCAGATCTAAGAAGGTTGCGAGCTCTGTGACCGATAATCTCGACCAGTCTGCAGCAAGGACAGAGCCTCCACCCATTAGTGGCACAATCATTGATCGAAGTGACAACCCATTGAGAGTCACCGAGTCGTCAGCTTCACGCGCAACTTCTGCTTTGGCATCACTAACTCGATTTAATTCGCGTCCTGCTAATCATTTAGCAGCTAAAAGTAGCTTTGCTCACGAAAAGGCTAATGACGCGATGGACTTTAATACTAGCTCCATGCTGAGTTTACCATACTCGCGAGATCAATAGCTCAAGTACTACACAGGGAGCCCTTGCAGTTGCGTTTGGTGAGCTCATTGTGGCGCTTTGGACTGGAGAAAAATTCACGGTCACGCGGCCTGTCGAATTGAAGCGCGTGATTGGCAAGATTGCGTCACAATTTACAGGGTACGACCAGCAAGACGCGCAGGAGTTTTTGCGTTTTCTACTGGATGGACTGCATGAAGATCTGAACCATGCGAAAACTATATTTAAATACGAGTATGGAATGTTGAAAGTGGGAATACAAACCCATTTCTAACATTTTAAGGTCATGATATGAGTGTTAAGTGTGTACGTCAAGCACGAGAAAATGAGCAAATTTTTGCTTCTGGTGGTCGGGATGGAAAGATTTTACTATAGGATATACGTACAAAAGGAACACCAAAACTTGCCATTGAAAATGTGCATGCTGAACGAGAAATGACAAGAAACGTATCATCATCATTCATGTCATCGACTTTAAAACGTCGACGTATAACTTCCAACTATTTGACTTCTTTACGTAGTGTGACGTGTGTTGAATTTGGAAGAAATGAGTATGAAATTTTTTCTGCTGGTGCTGTGGATAGTGTGGTCAAATGTTGGGATATTCGACGAATTAATCGAATAAAAAAGAAAGAAATGTCAAGACCAGTGTATGAAATTTCGTGTTCAAGTCAAAAAGGAACACGTCGTGGTATTTCGTCTTCAAAACTTTTGGGTGCACAACATGGTACATCGCGTTTACTTGTTAATGTATCAAATGATTCCGTTGCTGTGCTTGATCTTGGAGTATATGCACGAAATTGTCAACCAAAAACGAATCTTCGATGTGTTGGACATCGAACTACGTCATTTTACAGCAAAGCCACGTTTTCAACAGAAGGAGATTTTATTGCTGCTGCTTCTGCAGATGGTCTTGTATATGTTTGGGATGCACATTTAAGAACTTTGTATGATCAAACATTGAATTTATCAAACTCAAGTGATAAAAGTATCCGACGATTGCCATGTTTAGCATTGAAAGGACATGAGAATGAAGTGAGTGGATTTGCATGGAATCTTCAAGACTTGACACAACTTGTCTCGTGTTCGGATGATGGTACTGTACGATGCTGGCAGGTTGATGGAGAACGTCTAGAACGTTCAAAAGTGACACAGTTTCAGGTAGAAACAAGTCATGAGAATGATTCCGACAATTACAATACAACGCATTGGACAAATTGGAACGATTTTATTCTCCAGCCGGACGGGTATGCGTACCGTATTCAATGTCTCTCTGTCCCGAAGTTAAGCTCCAGTGTCAATCATCTAGCTGATAGTTCTTTGCGTGCTACTCACTACGAAACTACTTCTCATTTGTCTTCTATCCATACATTAGGCGAATTAAAAGAGAAACAACAAAGTGATCGTCATTTTGAGCACGTAGTAGTCGAATGAAACTACGACGCAAGACAAAGTCAATCAAAACTCTCAAAACAAGGGCAACGAACGTTAGTGGAACTGTGGAGAACAAATGAACAAGCAAATTCAATCGAGTGAACAATTTCTCGTACGAAGCACTGCATTATTCAAGTACAAGGCAAGGTTAAGATCGTTTCAATCTATGATGCGATACGAATCGAAGTATCTACACAATGTCTTGTTGAAATGCTTCGTCAAACATTTGAAGAAGTTGATCAATATCCTTTTCATCCACAACAAGCGGTGGGCAAAGACGAAATGTACTACATGACACAATACATTGCAATGAGAAAGAAATTCAACCTCAAATGATATCA